TAAATCTGCAAAAAGAGATGTGCATATGACCTTAGTACTGGCCTAATCATAAATGGCTGTTGATATTGGCTATGTGCAGTGTAGTTGTAACCATGTTGGTCCCAGGATATTGGAGAGATACCTTGTCTCTCTAATATTGGCCATACACGCTTCTAAGCCTTGAATGGCAAATAGACAAGTCAGTGACGGGGCTTCCTCTTTCCCCTGTTGCCTCTACCATTTATTGGTATCACTAGTTGCAGCATTAAATAGAGTTGGATCACAGTTCTTGCTGTCAAGTTCAGTGTGAGTGGTTTGGCGCAGGAGGTGGTGGTGGTAAGTATCTCTTGAGGTGTGGGAGCTGGTATGGGAAGCAGTTGAGCTATTGATGATCACCTCCTACTGGCCCATGATCCCAGCCCCTACTACTCACTTGTTAGCTTCTCAAACATCTGGTATGCTTTCTCCTATGCTGACAGATATGCTTGGGAGGTGTTCCCCATTAGTATCTGCAAAGCTACTTCATCATCCACCTTTAAATCCCTCCTCAAAACTCCTTTGCTGTGAAGCCTACAAAAAACTTGACCATGATTATGCTGCTAGTTTGCTGAGACCACTGCCTGTAATGCTGACCAGTATTGCCTCATCGTTAGTATTCCTCCCTCTGTCTATATCCATCTGTCGTCTCATTTTATACTTGGTCCCTGCCCCAAGAGGCTTACAATCCATCTTTTTGTTCTGTGTTTGTAAATGCCTAGAACAGTGGTGTCCCTGATCTATGACAGGTTTCAGAGTACCTGTTCTTCTTTTTCCTGATCTATGAGTTGGTCCGTAGTCACTAAGGTAGTACAGATAATAAATAGCAATAATTGATAGCAGAGGAGGACAGATGGAACTTTCTCTGAGCTTAGGTTGCCAAGAAGTACTTGGGCACCAAAGCTGTGGCTGCCTACAAAGCTTGGTCTTGACCTGTCTGTGGGGTTTGTATGGTTTTCCTTCCATCCTAGAAAGTTCCCATGCTCTTTGTTGAAGTTGGAAGTAGTTCATTTCCTGTCCCGGGCTTCCAAGGATCCACTGTTGGCTACCATATTTCTGGTCAAAGTATTCTGTTCTGAAACTTATTCCTTTGATTAAAATACATGTACGTCCATTAACTGAATGGGTATATGGAGTGGGGGATAATAGATCTGAGTGTGGAGGTATATACATTTCATTAGCAGTAGAAAATTATTGGTGAAATATTATCCCATTGTGATGGGTTCTTGTACTAACAACCCTATTCTTGTGACATGAGCCAAACTAAAATATCTATAGTAAAAATTTGTTCTATTTTTGATCTCTGGATCAGTTTGTCTCCAGAAATGTTTGTGTTTTTCCCCCTCCCCCCCCCACTGCCCACCAGTTGGGAAAGTAATGTACATGATGGCATTAAATTCATTATTTCAATTACATGAGAAGGTTAAGTGTTTACCTGAGGCAGTAATCATTTCCAGGTTACCTGGGTTGGATTAAGAATCTTCTTTTGCATAGTTTTTGAAAGACTCTTAAAGAATTGTTGATGATGTGAGAACTGTTAATAATGTTTAAGGGGAAATATCTACATTTTGTGTTAACTTAACAAGATTATTTCAGATTTTACAATCTAATGATAATGCAAAGTGTTATGTGCATTTGTAGTAAGACTAGGTAAGTTTAATGTGCAACTTGGATTGAAATAAAAACTAAGAATTTAGTCTTTGTCTCTTTTTATAATAAAGCATAAATTCAAGGCACTAGAACATTGTGGAGCCAGATAGTGTAACTAAGAGACAAATTAGACTTCATATTCAAAACATCTTTAAGTGGTGGTTACTAGTATCGTGTAATATCACATATGCATAAGCAGTTGTACATTATGTGAAGTACTATATGTTCCCACAAATAAATATGCTCAATAGCATATTTATGCTATAATACATAAATATAAGGAGATCATTTTGTTGCAGAAGGTTTGAAAAAAAAAATGCTATTCAGAAGATTAATTCAACTTTTCCTGAAGTTTTTTTTTAATTCTTCTAAGTACTGCTCTTAGGCTCTGTCCCCATGTAGAAAGGCTTGTATCACTGGACATGCATGTATCAAAATTAAAAATCCCCAAATACTGCTTACTGTTTTAACAAACTTTCAATGTCCTGGTGAGTTTTGTTGAAACTATAAAGACATCTCATGCTAGACCTTCAAATAGGGCCGCTATCAAACTTATGTTTTCAAGATGGCTGGTACTTCTGTTACAAAGTGTCTTAAACTAAGACTGCAGATTTTGGAGGAAGACGCCACTTGTGTTAAAATTTCAAGTCAAAACAAAACCACTTTCCATATTTTTTTTCACAAAAGTGTTACTTAACATTCTCCCTGAGATGCAGGCTTTGAGGTTTTGCCTTCATTTTAAGATGGCTTAGAATTTGAGAAAAGTAGAGCCTCGATGGAAAAATGTTTTATATTCAGTTTTGACTCAGAATCCCTTTTCACTGGTAAGAGAAGACCTTGGTGTACAGATCAAATTTCTGGTTTAAACCTAAAATGCATAGGGCCAAACCGGGCTTTGGAGTAACTGGCAAAACTTACTCTTCCCCAGACCTGAATATGACCCTCATTGTAGAATGCTTTGAAAAGAGTTCCTGCATAATGTGAAAATTATGATCAGAAAACACATTAAACATATTATAACAGAGTATTGGAGGGTGTGTGTGGGACGGGGATGGGGACAGGGACGACGACTTATTGTGTAAATAGGTTTTAGACGTTGGGTGGGGTGTGTGTGTGTGTGTGTGTGTATATGTATATATATAATTTATTTATTTTTCTTCCCTAGTGCACAGTGCTGTGGTAAACTGTCTTTCCTTTCACCCCTCTGGAAACTACCTCATTACTGCCTCCAATGATTCAACCCTTAAAATTCTGGATTTACTAGAAGGAAGGCTGCTGTATACTCTTCATGGTCATCAGGTGAGGAGAATCTTCAGTATTACTTTTGTAAAGTAATGCGTAAAGCACGTGGACTCAGCAGATTGACAGAGAAATGATGTTGAGTCAAGTGTTAGGCTTCAGTTCTCTCAGCCTATAATGCTTAAGGTTCCTTGATTGGATTTTTAATTAAACCTGAAATTTCATTGGTGGTGGTGGTGGAGGAAATGTAGAGAAAACATGACAAGAAATGTAACTTATTAATCTAAGGTACTGCTTTCATAAGGAAGAAAAAAAGGGAGACCGTATACAGCTCAGTTCTAGATTTGGCTTTAAAATTGTTTTACAAAATAAGTTCAATTTAAAAACAATCTTTCCTTGAGAGTCGGCTACTGAAATAAAAAGTGCTAATACATGGGGATCAATATTGGAAATTGGCTCTATACACAGACTAGTTACTTTGTCTGATAGGGTTTCTGGGAACAAGGAGGGGTATGTTCCTGGGTGTGATTTGGGGGTGAGAGCTTTTCTGGAGTCCTCCCATTTTGGCAGCTGCCTAAGTTAACTTATCTTCATTTGATTACTTAATATTCCTGATTGGCAGAGTTAACTTATTTGTATTCTAGTATTTATGCTGCTGGGTGTTTTGTTGCGGTAGGTCTAAATATATTCAGAGTGCTTGGAGTTCTTGTGTTTTTTAAATGTTAAATCCAAATAAATAGTCTAATTTTACTGTCCAAGCTGAGTGAGGCAGCAAAGGCATGAATAATGAAAAGCAAAGAAGTTCTAAAATATTCTTTTGCAAGATGATGATGAACATGATGATAGTGACAACTTAAATTTTAACCCAACAGTGTCCTTATTGGCTGAGGGCTGGGACTTCCAAAGTCAAAGGGCTTTGGGCTTTTGTAGCCCCACTTGGAAGCCCAGCTCTTGTAGGCCCCATTTTGAAGACCCTAGCCTGAAGCTGTATAGAGGGGTGAGTTACATGAAATACAAAACCGAGCTATCTGCTAAATACAGGACATGTAAAAACACACATCTCTGCTTTCTTTCATACTTAACAGTTAAGGGGAGCAAGGGCATTAATTATTTACTGGAAGGGGGCTTTGTGCCTTTTATAGTGAGTCCTAGTTTGAAAGCAGGAGAAGGGGGGAGCAGAGGGAGGAGGAGTGTCTTTTTAGTAAATGATGAACGTATTTATTAGGAGCCTTAGCCTGATTTCTACACACTTTTTTTTTTTTCTACCTCCCTCTTTTCT